ATGAAGTGATAAAGTTGGGATTCAAAACCAGGCAGTCTAGTTATAAAATCTATGTTCTTGATTACTGCCTCTGAAGCTGCATATTCAAATTACTCTAATATTAATTTGTTAAAATTGTATTCAATTTGGCAGGAGAAATCAAAGTGTTTACTGAGCATCTATTACGCTCCAGGCACTCTAGAGTGCTAATAGACATGGAACATTCGGACCATTAAGGCAAGGGTCCTGTCCTTGAGGAGTTCAGTCTAGGGGGATGCTGTTATTATCAAGTGATAACTGGAAATATAAACTTCCAACGAGTTCTTTTGGAATCTTCTAACCATAACCCAAATCTGTCATTTCTATAAGCCCTTCTAGAACACTTTATATATCTTTCTTTTAAAAACCAAATTGTTTATAAGTATCCTCAAATGAAGAACTTTAAAACAAAAAATTTTGTTAACATTGAATCATTCTCCATAATTAAAAATTCTATGAGTGTTAGACGGTAATTTCAGAGGTTTCTGTTGTTTTTAAACTTGGCAAAGATACTAAGGAAAGAAATGGGTAATCATAGTATAAGTAGAGATCGTATTTATTTTATTATGGAAAATAGTATTTGAACTTAGGGAGAAACAACTAAAAGATATATCTATTTCCCTCTTTGATCACTGGCTTAATTCAAATTTGGACCTCCCACCACTGTTGTGTCCCCTCTTTCTCCCGTACACCCACTTTATTGTATTGCTGGGTGAAAGGGAAGCAAGTCATGCTGGGAACCATGGGCAAGATATTCAATGAAATCTCTTCTTAATTCTCACCTTCCCACTGGGATGTGGGTATGATGGGCTATTTAAACAGATGATTGTCAAGACCTCAACCAGGAACATAGAAGCTGTGATCAATGCTTCTAATAGTAAAGTGTTTCTCAGAAAATCTGGGAAAAAAATGAAAGTGTCAGAAGTCAGTAAAGGAAAATGGACTGGAGAGAAAATGGGCAACTCCCAACAATGTAGTCAGTGAAATTAAACCACCCAAATGCACCTTTAGTTCTTGATCAAATAAAAAACACAATCTCTTTTCCTTAGCCCTTGTGTGTATAAGGAAAAAGGTGATTTTTTCACTGGAGAGCAATATCCTAGCTACCCTCTCATTCCCCTTTTAGGATTTACAATTAGTTGGGTGCATTAAAATATAAAAACAATGTCCTCAAACTTTAGTCCTCATCAGATTCAACTGGAGAGATTGCTAAAAATACAGATGCTGAGAACTCACACCCTGTGCTTCAAATACAGTGAGTTTGGAGTGAGTGCAGGAGCTACCTGATCAAAGTTTGATAAATGAAATAGTGACGGGTCAGGGCACCTTAACTTGTGCTTCCAGCAGCATCCATGGTGATTTTGTGGTTGCATGGAATATAAATGCTCCGGAAGAATTGGTTAAATTTTAATTTCATCTTTGGAGCAGGGACCAAGAGGCAGGCAAGGACCACCAGGAACGTTTGGACAAAGAGGCTCACTGGGTGCTCAGGTATGTTTGAAAATCTAGCAGCTACAACACAGCTGCTCATTAACAACGGCCAATTCATAGCCCTGAGTGTCCCTGAACAAATAACATAAAGCGATATTGTTTGTTCTGGGATCTGCGGGTATCAGGAATTTCTAGAAAAGCTAATCTGATGCAGTAGACATTGATCATCAGCTATGTACCTCCTTCTACCCTACGTGTATTTTGGGAATGTAGTGACAAATGAGATGTGGGTTTAAACCTCAAGGGTATGTAATACAATCTCATATTTACCTATAGTACAAGATAAAATAATAGTATCACGAAAAAGTATAAATAACTAATCTGCTCCTCCCAAATATATAAGGAAGCATTAATATCCCAATTTTATAGGTAAGGAAACTGAGGCTCAGGGAAATTAAATGACTTGTCATCCAGGTAGTAAGTGGCTGAGCTGGCCTCTAACTTGGGTCTTTCTAGTGTCTATTCTACTCCCTACCTAATATCCTGGTGGTTTGCAGAAGGGTCAGACAGATTGAGACAGATGATCAGAGTGGCTTCCTGAGGAGGGAAGGCAACATTTGAGATGGCTTGTTAGACAACAGCATGACTGGAGTCAGGAAGGAGAGTCTGTATCTGGGGACTCAAAATAGTGTCTCCAGGATGGCCAAAACCATCCTCATTGTCTCCTGCGGTCAGGAAGAATCCAGCCTTGCAACTGATTGTATTATTTTCAATCTCAGTTGGAAAAATTTTTTATTTGGAGTGGGTAAAACTCCAGGCTTTTGTCTTCCTGATCTGTTAATCAAGTCATGTTTCCCCTGAGATATACAGATGATTCCTCCAATTCTCAGTATGTGGTAGATGTGGCCTCTCGTAGAGAACACCTTCCTCCCCTGCCCCAAAACCCCAGCCCAGAGTTTAAATGTGTATATTATGCATTTTGTATGTTGAAGGATAGAATTAATTAATGGTATTAAACATTAAAGGCTAAGCTTACATCTCTAAGGTGATTTATGAGTATATTACCAGTTCCAGACCATTTCAATAATAGTAGGAGTCACCAGTTAATTTTGTGGCCCTAGTGGTTATTTTAGATGTGGTCTTATTACAGGGGACTCCTGGGCCTCCAGGGCCAAAAGGTTCAAAAGGAAAAGATGGACCAAGAGGAATGAAGGTAAATCAGAGAACACTCTCTTGAGTGCAACTTGGGGGAACCCCTTGGGTTTTCTCACACACATCTTCCTTTATGTAATCATTTCCAGCACATGTTTCTGATATGGTTGGTGATACTATTGACTGCCTATTCCTAGCTAGATAGATGGGTACAGAGAAGGCAAGACATACAGACAGACATATAGAAAAAATGAATCACATATATCAATAGACAAAAACATACCAACAGATAGATATACATATAGATTCACTGCAAATATAAATTCACATACCCTCATTTAGAAAAAGCCATAGTGGTATAAAATTCTATAATTTGTATTTCATACCTTGTTTTGCTAATTTTCAGTACCAAAATTCCTACTGTGTGTGTTAGTTATCTATATTTAATGAAGCCTAGAGGAAGGTACTTACCTTAGACTGTCTGGTATGGTACCAGGACTTGAAAAGAATGACTATACACTCTTTAAGGAAAATGTCACAAAGTTGCATGAACTCACAGAAGAAAATTAATTTCACATTTACCCTTTATTATACAAGGGAGAGCTTGGTGCTGCAGGAGAAAGAGGCCCACAGGGTCAACAAGGACCAAGAGGACAACCTGTAAGTCTCATTTCTCTGTTTTGGACTCTTGATTGAATTTCATGTTTGTTATTGTTCTTGTTTTACATAACATTCTAATATTCTTGATGAGCTAAACTTGGGATTATAAAGATGACATGATCACTGGAGCTGTTGAGAATTTATACAAAGATTCTCAAACTTCTTGCATAAATTACAAATCCAAAGATGTCTTGGAATGTATTTTGCCTTCTGACATGTTGAAGAGGGAGGTGCCAATCACCCTCATCTGTTTGACAAAGATATTTATAAGCATTTGAATCTTTTAGGAATACAGAGATGTTTAGCGAAACATTTTTTCCAGGGCAACAAATAAGACAGCCAATCAGATCTGCAGACTTTTAAGAGTAGGGGTTCGATTATCCAGAGCATAGAAATAATCTTTGGACACCAATGCCATAAAAGATTTACTTCTACAGATAACACTCTCAATGACAGGGCCATGCATTTTTACCTTAGTCATCACCTTGAACGGGAGAGCAAGTTAGTTATTTTATGACTATTTTCAATTTACTCCCTTATTGGAATTAAGGGGGTAGCTTTGTCGTACAGAGTAATGTTATCCTTCCTGCAGCCCATATTTTCGAGATTGCTTTCACCAACAGTTAGGAAAGATCTGTAGGTTTTTTTTCCTACATTTGGCACTGAAATTATATTTGTTGGCAAGGAGAGAAAACAAAAGCAGGCCTGAGAAGCTTGAACTTAAATGTGGAAAGGGAAAGAGCAGAATAGAGTTAGTATCAAAGGGAATATGAGGGAAATAATGTTTTTCATCTACACTCTGAAAATTCAGACGGTGAAGTTAATACTTTGACTTCATTAAAATCTCCTAATTAAAAACACAAAACTTGTGCCTCCTGACTTCTGCCTGGGACAGACAAAGCTAGGAAAGGAAACCTTTCTTGAAGGTGACATTTCAGGTCTGTCAGAGGGAGACATCTCCAAAATACACAGTTTGGGTCTCTGAGGTTGCAGATGCGGGAGGTTCTGCATGTCCTCCAACAAGGAGCAGGTGGGATTACAGCAAAGAACCTCGTTCACACCCCCTCCCTACCAAGAACTCATTTTTGGCAATCTTTTTCTATCTTATTTTTTTTTTCTTTCCTAATCTTTTGATCTTCCTTAATTAGGTCATAGAAGTATACTTTGTGTTTTTTGATTTTTCTTCTCAATTGATCTATTTGATTGAGGGGCAGTCTTTATCCATTCAGCAAAAAGCACCTAGAAGTTTCTGAACTCACTCGGTATTACAGGAAGCTCACTGTCTGCATGTACAGATGCTAAGGTCCAGCAGTATCATCGACATTTTCATAATTGCTATCATCACCTCCACTGCCACCTCCACCATCACTGTCTTCAGCAATAACACCATCACCACTATCAGCGTCATCATCACCACCACCAAAACCAACCACCTCCACCATCACTATCACCATTACCATCGTCACCATTGCCACCACCACCCCTACACCCACCATCACCATCATAAACATTGCCACCACCACCACCACCACCACCATCATCACTATTACCACTGTCATCACCATTGCTACCACCACTGTCACTACCACCATCATCACCACTATCATTACTACCCTCCTGCCAACACCATTACTTCTACTGCCACCAATAGCAGCAGAATAATTATCATTTATTGAGTACTTTCTCTGTGTCTGGCATTGTACTAAGCACTTTCCATGTACAATCTTGCTTAATCTTCCCAACAACCATACCATGTAGATGATATTATTCCTATTTTACAGATGAGGAAGCTGAAGGTTATAGAGGTTGTGTAACTATCCCAGGGTCACTCATACAACCAGTGTTGGGACTGGAATAAAAATTCAAGTCTGTCTGGGTTTATAGTCTGTACACTTAACCACTAAACTAAATTGCCGCTATCTGAATCTTTTTCTCCAAAGTCTGTCTTTATTCCTAAAGATTTACGAATTCTGGAGTTTCTTCCACTGATACTTTGTCCCACAAGGAAAGTAAGTTTAGCCCAAGGGACATTATACGGTGATGTGGCTTCCTACAACCATGGCATCATCTTGGTGATGCGCAGGACCTTGCTGCAGAGGGGGTTAAATAAAAACACAAAAACTTCCTTCTACCATGGTCTTTTAAAGTTTTAAACTGTTATCTCCTCCAAATGTCAGTGTTTATCCTATGAACCTAGTCTCCCAAACTTCATCGAGACTTTCTTTTCCACCTCCTTGCAGTGTTGATTTATCCGAGGATTCAAACACTATTATCAACCAAGTGTCGATCTCGATGACTCTACTGTTCATCTTGTGTCATTTTCTTAGGGTTTTCTTGGTTCGGATGGATATGGACATCCAGGAAGAAAAGGAACAAAGGTGAGGGTTACCTTACAGGGTATTCTGAACTAAGGACTATAGTTTTTATTTTATTTTACTAAAATAAGAGTTATTTTCCAAGTGGTATGCCAGGAATGGTTTTTCCATGTTTATGACATGTCGTAGCTGCCAGAGTTTCCTCCCTAAAAATTAAAAGCTGACTGTGTCACTCCTTTATTTAAAAGTCAAACTCCTGACCTCATCCTCCACCTGTGTCAGATGTTCCCACCTCAGCTCTGGTCATGCCAGGCCCTTTCCCAACTCCTTGCCTTTGCAAACACTCTTATCTCTATTTAAGATGCCCTCCTCAATCTCCCTCCCTTGGACAATTTTTGCTCAGGTTCTAAGACCAACTCAAATATCAACTTCCCCATGTGAAAGCCTTCTCAGGCTTCCCCAGGCAGAATTTGTTGTCCTATACTCTGTATTAATAAAGCACATTGTTCATATTTCTACAGTAGCCCTTTTCCATCTAGGTAGTATTATAATTTATCCCTGTCTGTAAACCTGGAAGCAGGAGTGCTTCTTATTCATTTTTGTATCACTGGGACAGAGCTTGGCAGACAGTAGGTGCTCAATAAATATATTTAGATGAATGACTGCCATTCTCATAAGAGGTTGATATTTTGGCATTTACTTAATTGGTCACAGACAGGTTTTGAAGCATAAAGTTCACATAAAGTTTGTTGAACAAATCAAATCTCAATACCCACTGTTATTCTGGATGCTTTAATCTGCAAGTTACATTTACTGCCTCACAAAATAAGAAATCACTGGGATGTTTAGTGATGCTCAATTACTTAATGATGGTAGGACTCTTGTTTCCCTGTGGCTGCAAGATGGCATCACTGCCATTATACTGAGCAGAAAAATGCCCGAAACATAGTAAGCTTTTAGTAAATGTCTGTAGAATTATGGAGCAATGGGGAACCTACTGATAGTGATCATCTAGTTTAGCATTGTCAATTTACAGTTGAGAAAATTGAGGCTTAGAGAAGTGAAGGAATTTGCTTATGGCCATCCAGATAGTTAGAGACAGAACTGAGTGTAGAAGCTAATCCCTTGGAGCTCCTTCCAGGAAAACTAAGTCTTTCTTCTCTAGGGAAGAGTTTTCTCAGCAGGGGAATTCTGGATAGAATTCAAATGTGTATGTCTTGAGCCACATACCAGTTCAGAGCTAAGCGCAAGGGCAGTCTATGTTTATTGTGAAACAGTTAACATTATGGCACATAGATTCAGTCCAGATTTGCATGGATTTTTCTTGACAACATGTAATGGTCTCACTTTAAGTTGCCCATGTTGCTGCTTGGCCAGTCAACTACATTTTCCTAGTCTTTTCACTCTTCTCTCTGAGTCTACTATTTCATACCCTCTCCTGTCTCCTCAGATCTCTAAGACCTGCTTTCTTTTCCACACCTAAAATAGATGGTCATACTTCTCAATTCATTAAACAAATAGAAGCAATGAGAAGAGAACCCCTACATAAGTCCACCACCAAGCAGGCCAGCCTACTTGCCTCTGTACCCATGTACCTGCCTTCGCTTCCACTGCTGCAGATGAACATCCATACTCCTCTCTCGGATTAATCCTCACCTCCCGGACTGGACTCTGTTCCCTTTTGCTTTCTGAAGGCCCTGGCTCCTGAAAGTGTCACTTTTCTCTCCTGCATCATCAAATTTTATTCCCTCTCCATAAATCATTCCCATCAGCATACAAAGAGGTGGGAATATCTCCCATATTCAGAAAAACAAAAAACAAACCCCCTGCCCCAGTTGACTATGTATTCCCATTGCCCATTTCTCTCTGGCAAAACTCTGTGAAGGAGTAGTCTATATGAGGGGTTCTCAACCAGGAGTGATTTTACCCCCAATGGGACACTTAGCAATGTCTGGAGATATTTTGGTTGTTACAACTGGGGGAGGAAGTGCTACTGGCATCTACTGGGTAGAGACCAGAGATGTTGTTTAACACCCTGTGATACACAGGACAGCCCCTCACAGCAAAGAATCATCAGGTCCAAAATATCAGTGGTGCTGAGGTTGAGAAACTGATGCCAAGTGAACCTTCACCCCTGACCCTCTCCACTCAACTATACCTGCTTTAGTTGAGGTGAACCCCGTGTTGTTAAATCCAGTCGTCATCTCTCTGCTCTCCTCATACTTTGTGTCTCAGGAGCATTTGATAAAGATGCTCATAGGCTTGTTCCCCATCCTTTCCTCACTCAACTTCCAGTACATCCCACTTTCCTGGTTTTCATGGGCTGCTCTTTCTCAGTCTCCTTTGCTGGATCTTCTGAATCTCTTTGACCTTTAAGGATGAGGAGAGTCAGGGCTCTATTCTCGTAAATCTCTCCCTCTTTACTCACCCCTCAGGTGACATTTCTCAGGGAAATCCAGTCCCATGGGATGGCACCAAGTGCCATCTGTCCTGTGATCTCCAGTTTATTTCTTCAGCTTGGACCAATATCCTAAACTCCAAAAGTGTTTCCAGTTGCTTATCTGATAGGCATCTTAAAATTGGCATGCCCCAAATAACTTTCTTCTTCTTCTGTTGGTTAATAACCTTTTATTATAGAAAAGTCCAAAAATAAATAAAAGTGGTGAGATTACTGTAATGACACCCCTCTGTCCCACCTCATGTACCCATCACCTAGCTCAAATAATGAAAAGGCCTTGGCCATTTTTGTTTTGTTTTATTTATACTCCCACTCACTTGGCCCTGCCCATACCAATTATTTTGAAGC